TTGCGGTTGTGTAACTCTTTTTTTATTGTCTGACTTCTCTTATTTGATCGTGCAGGAGTTGACGGAACCTATTCCTCTTGTCCTAGGTCTTCATGAACGTGTTAGAGAGACGGTTGATCCATCGAAGTCCTTGTCGTGACCACCAAAGCTCTCAGACAAACTCATCATGAAATCCCAGACGCTGCTCATTCCCTGGAAGAGATCGTGGCCAAGACATAATCTCGAAGAGCTATTGGGTGTACCGACGACGGTGTTCTAGACACTTGGGTGTTGGTCAATCTACACATTTCGTGATGGACCCTCCACCCCGGCGCTTCAGACCTCTGCGACCGGCAGAATGTTGCGCAAGCGCTGCAATCGTTACTTGCTCCCTTCTCAATCCTCGGCGGAACGTTTCTCCCCGACCAGCGCAGAGCAGAATGCACAACGCCTTCCGAAGACATCTGTACACGTCCCTGTCAATGAAAGCCAGAGCAGACGGATAAGAAACTGTGAAGATGAAGGTCCCTGCAGTTCCCCCAAAAGCAGGTCATTTCGGGACCCCCCGGGCCTTGTTCGTGGTTTTCCCGTTTTGGTGTTTGTTGAAGAGCACTCAAGAGCAATTACGCTGGTTTAGTTCATGGCTTCGGGTTGGTTCAGGGGTTGAAGGTTTAGGGTTGGTTTAAAGAGCTAGCAGCGAAGAGGGGAGGAGCGTTGGAACAGCAGTAAAGGAAGCGCTGGATTGAGCAGCATGAGAGAAGCATCAAACAATGGCTGAGTGGCAGTAGAAGAGAGGGAGTGTTTAGACTGGAAGAGCATTGGTTTGGGGTTGCTTTAGGTCTTCGGGCTGGTCTAAGGTTGAAGGTTGGTGCAGGGTTGGTTCAAAGTGGTTTGAGGGTTGGTTTGGGGTCAGGTTGGTTTAGGGTTGGTTTTGGGCTGGAGGCTTTCAAGGAGCTCGCAAGAATAGCACAGAGAGAGCACCAGAAAATGACGAGCGCAGACGAGCGCCAAACAACTCTCTAAAAAAAGGGCTGGTTTAGGGTTGGCTCAGAGCTGTTTTGGGTTAAGTGGTTTCGGGTTGGAGCAGCTCACTGCGGCTCCAGCAGCGTTGGGGACAAAGCCGCTGCAGCGGGTGCAGCCCTTGCAGCAGCAAGCGACGGGGGCCGGAGCCAAGTCCACCGTCGGCGCTGCACAGCTCGCGCAGCAGCGCGCGCAAGGACATCACCCCGTCTTCCTCTAAACACTGATCTAGTGCTCCTCGAGGTATCCTCCAATGCTTCTCTACGTGCTCCTGCGCTGACCCCTCACTCGGATGTGGTCCACCTTGTGGCTGATCTCTGTTGTTTCGCCGATTGGGGCTCAGCAGCATATCAACTCAGTGTCGATTGCCTCGACACTTTGGTTTCACCAGTTTGCGTTTTGTTTTGTTTTGAAGCGGATTTCCTTCCTCCTTTTGGCATGGCCTTTGGTTTATCCTGAATGTTGCCATGGCTAGTGTGAATTCATGAAACATGCTGATGCGCAGCACATGAGTTGCAATGGCTTCTGCGCACGCACCAGTGGCACGCCTGAATACTGGGGGGGTGTCAAGCCTTAAGTGGTTGCATCTGTTCCCTCAAATGTGGTTCTGTGCTTTGTGATGCACCCGCGTGGGATACTCTTTATGAGCCTGACTGTTAGTGGCGATGATGGCTTGGACGCACATCTAAAAAATGACACCCAATATGAAATTGAGTTCTCGACTGAAGCCAGTTGGTCTGCCCAAGCACACGTCGATATGCTGCACGCATGGCTGGATTTAGTTGAAGTCCTGGAGGAACTTCTCAAAGTGAACCTTTTGAAGTCCATTGCTACATCTTGGTGAACATTGGTATGGTCTCCGCGATGTGGGTCATTTTCCAGGTGACTGGAAGCCTTGCGGATTTTGGCCAGGGTCTTGTGTTCAAAAATGCTGAAAGGGCGTAACATCATGGACCTTTCTGCCTTGGGCGTTGTTGCCTGAGACTGGGCCCACGAGATAATCAACGGCTTTTTCCAAGTTGAACCCATTTTGACGGAAAGGTCTTAACTTGGGCTTGGAACTTTGTCACCGTGATAAACGTTGGTGCAGCGATCAGCACGTGCGCAAACCTACCGAAGTTGCTGCGCGCCGTTATAGATGGTGTGGAGTCTTGAAACTGAGGTTTGAGATGCCTCAAGGTCAAGCTCTGCCTCATTGCCTTCTGAAGTTGTTAACTTCAGTGTCGTTGATGTACAGTAAGTCTACCTGGTTGTTGGAAGTAAGATCTTGTCTGCTGAGACGAGTGCTGGCACTCGTCATGTTGCGTTCCTCATCGATCTTGTCAAGAGCGGATCTGACGACGTCTCTAAAATGTCTTCTAAGAATGAACTTCATTGTGTAAGGGTTTTACCTTAAAGGAAGTGTCTGGGCTAGCTTTGCGCGCCTGACTGTTGGTGTTGCCTTCCACAGGCCGGTGTTGGAGCTTCACAAGTTCTGGTCTCATTGCTTCTTTGGGAAGATTGCGGCTGGCTTCAAACTTCTAAGTTTGGTATCTGGATCACGCAATCCGAATGCACCGAAATCAATGTCACTCCAAGTGACCTAAGAACTGTCCATGAGCTGCGTAGTGGACTGCGAAGTCCAGATCTTGGGCTTCTCGAAATTCACTACAATGAAACAAAGTCCGCGGCTCGGTCGGAGCAAGCCAAACAACATCTGACTCCGGTCACGGGTATTCTCCAACACCATTTGGCGACGTTTCGGATATCGATTGGCACGCCAACCCTTAATCCCGTCAGTGCGCAACATTGGGCGGGTGCTTCCAGCTAATGTATACCTCCAGGACATGGATCTTTGCCTTCGTTAAAATTTAAACTTGCAAACTGTGAATCTCAGGCAAGACCTGCTGATGATGACGATGTTGGCTCTGCGGAACCTGTCTGCTCCGTGGCTGTCTTGGCAAGTGATCGTGTGGCTCGTTTTGTTGCTGCCTTGTCTTGCGCCATCGGCGGCAGGTCAAGTCCTGGCTTGGACGGTAACTCTGTAACAACTCTGGCCTCTCTCGACTCGTCTCCCCTGATCTCCGTCCCTGCCACTCTGTCTCTTGTCTTCATATGTGCTGCAATCTAATCGACCGCTCTGTTGCCTGGTCTCCCCTGCAGGCTGGTCAAGCTCGGATGGGTTCCTGACTCTGTCTCCTCTTGTCCCCCCCATCTCCCTGCCTATATACTGGTTTCCTGCACCTCTGGTCAAGCTTGCTCGGGTTTTCTGCCATGTGCTGCGGACTGGCTCGGCTCACACAAGTTCCTCCCACTGCGTCTCCCCTTTTCTCCTTGTCTCCTTTCATATTTACTGCAGGCAGGTCGGGCTCTGACGCGTTCCTGCCCCTGTCTCATCTCGTCTCCGCTTGTCTCCCGTTATGTGCGCCGTCCAAGCTCGACCAGCCTGCGCAACATAGGGAGGGAGACAAGAGGCGAGAAGGAACAGGAGCCCGACAGCACATATGAAGGGAGACAGCACGGCTACCGGGCCCACACGACAATGGTCCGATTCGCTTGGGCGGCTGAGAGCATTGGAGCAAAAAAAGGTTCGCTGCAAACGCGTGCGTCGCGTACCGCTTCTCGAGAGTGCCTATGGCGAATTCGTTGACAGACGCAACGAAGTCCTCGAGAATTTCCTCGAGAAGCACAAGAGGCCGCTGCGGTTCATCGAGGAGCAAGGGCTCGAAAACGCTATCTGGCCGCATCTCTACTCGCGCCTGCAAGACCGTCGTCCGCGCCACGAGCGGAGGCGCGTCCGCGCAGGCCTGTCGGACGAAGAGGCGTCCTTGTCTCTTGCGCCCCCTTGTCTCCCTTCCTACGCGCTGCGTGCTGGTCGGGGACAAGGCGGTTCAGGTTGGACGGGTTCCTGTCGCTTTTTGTTGCCTTGTCTCGCCTTCTCTCCGGTCGCGCCGATCTTTGCTGCCGCTTGCTTCGATGCGCTGCAAGGTGGGGTTGAACGGATTCTTGACGCTTTGTCTCCCCTGTCTTCGCTTCTCCCCCCTTGCCTCCCTATGCTGCAAGGCCGGTCAAGGTGTTCGGCTGGCGAACATAGCGCAAGCTTGCTACCTTATAAAGGGCGGACTTGGTAAGCGCACCTGGCGAACCTTGCTAAGTTCGCCGGGGCGAACTTAGCGCGCTGTTTGTTGCGCACGTGCCACACTTGGCGCGCTTGCTGAGTACCAACATAGAGAGCTCGTCCGAGACAAGTTGCTAAGTACGTCCAGGCAGAGTTAGCTAACTCTGCCAAGCTAACTCTGCCAACTACCTTACGTGACCTCGCCAAGCTCCCCGTCGAACATGATGCGCATGGCGAGGCTCCTACCCACGTATACATAGCGAGGGCTACATGATAGGCGCCGCCGTCTTAGTTGGCGACGTTGGGCCAGCTTACAACTGAGTTTAGAGGACTTGTGACTTCAGAAAGCATACATCCTAAATTGCTTCCAGCACACCATCCAGACAGCAACGCCGCCGAGCATCCAAGCAGGCCTCTATTGGATCGAAATTATCAAGGTCGGAGGCCAATTGTGCGTGAAGCCAGGAAAATACATTTTGACCGTAACAAGGCCGTGAAAAGCCGTCACACGCAGTGCGGCCCCCAAAAATCCAGGCGGCCAAGCAATTATCCCGACAAGCGAGTCTAAGAGCCCGGGCAACCCTGAGCGCAAGCCATCTGATCTGCCACTCAGCACCCAGCGCACAGTCTGAGCGAGAATGAGCCTCAGCGGGGTAAGGTACGTGCACGTGAGAGGGCCCCAGTCCGCTCAATCCGATGCGCCCACGCCATCCGCTCACGCCATTCCGATGTTCTTCCCTTTCTGGTTCCGTGCATCAAAGCGTGCCTGCGATTAGGCAAAGCACACCCACACTCTGTTTCTCGCTCACTCACTCACTCAATCACCCTGCTCCAACCAAACGCTTCAAACAAGCCCCAGTTTCAAAAAGAGCAGACATTGACCGGCTCCTACCCACAACCTTGGCCTCGACGCATCGCCCGGCTGTCAGCCATCAAAACGCGCGTGGGCAGCCAGTCAGCCCTCATGGAGCCTGGCAGGGAAGAGAAGATGAAATGGGCCCAGATGACGAGAATATACAAACAAAGATCCTAACTTTTATCTGCAACCCTTGTTTAAAAAAGCCACGTCCTGATTAACAACCACGTTCTCTTTACCAAAGTGGTTACTCTTATTTCCGTCTAGTTGTCCCCTGTAGTTCTTTACTTTTTACGCTTATTGTCTCTGAGTTTTACGCCTTTTTTTCTCTATATGTTCTTCTTGTTTTTCTCTTCATGTTAATATGTTTTCACCAACATGTGCTCATATGTTCTTCGTAAATGTACTCTTATGTTCTCTAAACAATTGCTCTGTTTTTTCGCCAAACTTACTCTTGTTTTATTCTAAATGTTACTGTTCTTCTCTCCATGATCTTCTTTTGTCCAAACGTCACTCTCATGTTCTCCAAATGTTGCTCGTATCTTCTCTATTGTTTACTCTTCTTTTCTCTTGTTCTTACTCTTGATTGATCATTTTTTGCAAAATGCTCTTTACTCTCGCTCTTGCTCTCTCTCTCTCTCTCTTAATTAAAGCTCTCAACTTTGTCTATCTGTTTATTTTTTGACTCTTGGATAAACCCATCTTCCCCAACTTCAACTCGTGTTGTCCGACGCCAGCTGCTTCATTCCCGAATGTGAGCTTTGGTTGCTTCAAAGTTAATTTCCAAGTTTAACTCCTCCGGGTTCCTCGCAAACACTTGTGAGTCGAGTTACGTATCACGCAATGTTGGAAGTGATGCAACGAGACACAAGTTTGCAGGCAGCCGGCGTTCCGGCGTCTTTAAGGGTCTCGGCGGGCTCTCTGGGCCCTCTACAGTAGGCCTCGAAAATGCTTTTCCTTATGCGGCCCTGGATGAGGACAAAATTTCCCGAATAAGGACAACATTCTTGAGGGAAAATAAGGACAAAATATTGCCGTGCTGTTGGGGAATGATTTTTGTCCTTTTTCCCCCAACAATTTTGTCCTTATCCGGGGCCGGACAAGGACAATTTCCTTAACTGTTTGCCGGATAAGGCCCAAACGTTTGAAGCAACCCTGAACCATGGAGAAGCCCCTTCTGATTGGCCAAGCGCATCAAGCAGCCATTCTCACTCCCTGCCACAGTTGATGCAATGGTACGTGTCTGGGCGCGCGTCAACCAGCACTTGAGTCTGAACTTTAGGACTTACATTTGGTGAGAAAGTAAGAACCAAATTTTGAGAAAATGAGATTGAACATCATCAAAAAAGAACAAGAAGAGTTAACATAGACAACAATAAGAGTTAAACAAAACGAATTAAGAGCAGCATTGCAAGAACGTAGTTGCAAAACTAAGAGAAATTAAGGGTAACATGTGCAAACAATAAATCATTAAATGTTGAGCAAACAAGAAAAACATTTGTAAATATCCGGGCAACATTTTGAGAAAATAAGAATACAATTTAGAGAAAGTGAGAGCACCATTAGGAGAAGATACGAGTAAACTTTAGAAGAAAATAAGAAAACACTTTGGAGCAAATAAGAGTAACCATGAGAAGAAAATAGGAGCAAACGTGTTGCTCCCTCTTACTACCCCACGGGCCCTGGGGACGTCTAATTTGGCTCTGAAAGAACCTCTCCACTTCCTCCTTTTCATTTTCGCTCTTGTTTTCTGGTGGTTCAACTTTTTCCTCCACACTATTAACAACCAATCAACTTGCGATAACCTCATAGCCCGACCTTCATTTTCAGCAGTTCTGTATACAACTATAAGTGTAGGTTTATTTATTCATTGCATTATGTTCCTTAAGACAAGTTTGGGGAACAGATCGTAGGTGAACAGATCGTAAGGCTTCCTAGAGAAAAAACCAACAGAAATCGACAGAAACCAAAAAACCCGACAGAAATTGACAAACAACAAATCAATTTCAACCAGCTACGACGCTCAATTATGTACTACCAGCAATACATTTAAAAATTAAACATTGACAGCGAAAAACAGTAACCGACAAACAACAACAAGCAACAAACTAACAACAAACAACGAAATCACAACACGAGCAACAACGCAACAACCAACAATACAATAACAGTAACGGACAACCAAACTTACACACACACACAGACAAAATATACTTTCAAAGACATGGAAAAAGCGACCGTTGAGAACCGCGAGGGACAGAGAACTTTAACGACGTGGAAAAAGCGACTTCGGTGAGTTGACTCGCTTTTACATTTGCCTCCCCTACGGAAAGCGAGGAACTGGGCGGAACAGACACCTCAAACAATGATGAAAGAGATAAACCATTGAGACAGAGTCAAAACGTGAGCATCTGGTATAAATACATTCAAATAGTAGAAGATACTGAAGCACTGACACTAAAGAAAGCATTACAAAAAAAACAACTACAGAGAAAATGAATGTTGGAGTAACCCGGCGCTTGACCGTTTTGAAGGAACCAAATTAAAGAAAGAGAAAAAGGCCCATAACGCCAAAACCCTGACGCGTGACAAAGTCCTTGAAGTACATGCGTGAATTCAGAAGCATTTAATGTTTATGGGGCGCCCGTACAGCAAATGGACACGGTAAACAAGTGTTTAGTGTCCCAGTAATCACTTCTGGCTATGAATCAACCTACCCCTAATAGGAAAACTCCCCCGAGCCGCGGCGAAAAATCGGCGATACAAAATTTAAATTGGCCAATACTAAAACAATACTAAACTCCTGAGACTACACATGCTTTCCACCAAGCTCCCAAAATATGCTTATTAGGGGTCCCCCCCTCCAGAGTGTGTTGAAACAAGAAGGCTCCACGTTTTCTTTGACACCCAAGGGTTGCCTTTCGAAGTTCTTCCTTAAAAGTTGCAATCTGAGCAGTGCTTGCTCCAAACCAAAGGAGATCCTCTTTCCAATACAAGTCCAATACTAACAACCCAACGACCCTTTATTATAAAACTCCTGCCAAGTGGTCTTAATTGGGGGGGGGGTGGCGGTTTTTGGTGGGGAGAAGCGATTAGACTTGGTAATTTCACAGGCAGTGCAATTTACGAGTATGACCTCACACATACTTAAATGGACAAGTGAAAACATTCAAACTGGGAACGCTGAGTAACACAACGGCAACTGACACATTCAAAGCACAGGCGAATAGCACATGTCACATCACTGACAAAAAACAAACGCTTAGTGACGCAGACGAGCTTCTACAGATAATGGAGCAGGAAGAATATGCCCTCCTCCATTCTGAAAATGATGAGGTGAAGGTTGCTAAATGAAGGTGAAGGTATTGAACGAAGCCTTTAACAAGCCTTACATAAATATGGCGCTTCCGGGCGAATTGAGAACACCATGTGTAAGTTTTATCACAACCAGCTCCAAAAAATACACTAAGCATGACACAGGAGCACAGGGTTTACCAAAAGGTGCAATGTTGAAGCCTCAAATTTGTAGTAAAAGTACATACCTAGACGAACAGAATCTGATGTGTTCAATGCCTATACTTCTGAATGTGGTACTAACAGCTTACCAGCTTGACCTTCTCCATTGTTGAAGTGTTCGGGGGCAACTTATTCTTCAACAACAAGAATAACTGGATGCGTGGAAAGGTCTGAAAACAGTTGGTTAAACATGATGTATAGTTAAAACAAAATTTGGATGTAAGCGACCTAGCCATATCCATTAACTAAATTACCCAAAGTTAGCTAGCTAACATTATGATGCAAAACTGTTTGGCAATGAAAACTTGGCTTCTGAAGATATTTATTATCAGTGCTGGTATGCTTGAAAAACGGCGCATCTCAGAAAAGGAGTGTGTTTGTTCATTGAAGGAAGCTTGTTATGACCAGCGCCTCTACCCAAACAGTGAAGACCTACACAATCAGTTAGTGTCAATCAGAAGTGGAAGAACTAGATGAAAAATAATTCAAAATAAACGAAGCCCCTGTCGGTGAGACATAGTATGTCTTGGGTGTTGCTGAATAAAGAATGTTAATCAGCGGTTTTTACATTGAACAACCTTGTGACCAAATCAAAACTCCAATATGATTGAAGCATACAACGCAATGAATGACTGAACATAATCTCAAAGTGCGCAGTGTCAAAACTGATGCTTTCACTATTCACGAACATTTGTTTGATGAAGTTTACGGGCTCCAATTATTAAACTGGACGGCTAAAATTTGGTGATGACAATTGCCCACCAACTCTCACATACAAATTGAAAGAAGTTCAAAATACCAGTATTCCTACTGATGATGTGTGGCACACTGAAAACATATGTAAGAAGATTGTAAGGCAAAATCCAGCGATTAGCAAGCGTACACTTCCGGGCGCAGGCGAGAGATATGCAGGGGAGTATTTTCAAAAATGAAAGAAGAAGGATTGATTCGTAGCGCCTATCAACCGCCTTTTACAAGAGGAAGAAGTAGAAGCGACAACACAACAATGTTTTAGCTTTGCTGTTCACGAAGGTGCAGGCCAAATACTGTTTAAATACAATTTTCAAGCACAACATACTTTCAACAGTATGTACAAGAGCAGGCGCAAAGGACAACGAGGAAGGAGAAATAAACAGGGAAACCATCAGTAACATGTTTGATTACTTCTGGGAAAAGAAACTGCCGATAAATGAAATTATTCCATAATATGATGAAATAGCTGTTGATAGAATGGCATCGGATAATACCTTTGCTTGTGCTCATCTGAGACGCCGCGCCGCCTCATGTGCGATAAGAGACAGGTTAAACATAACTGCCAAATATGTAATAGGAAACGCCGAGGGTCAATGTGAACTTTAGAATATAGAGCTACAAAATTCGAGGATGATTAATTGGGGCAACCGATGACATTGCAGAACACAGCGAATGAAGAAGACAAGTTTATCTTATCTGAACCTGTTGTGGATGCCTATTTTGTACATTCATGCTGTGCCCTCAAGTGTAAAGGGAAGCATTAAATATAACCTACCATATAACCTACCAATAGAAAGTAGAGAATGGTTGTGGTGCGGTTCACCCGCTGTGTTGGTGTTACAAAACTCAGATTTTTTAAGGACGATGACTTTAAACAACAGTTGAATAAAACTATTCATGAGACACAAGGCCGCCATGCACAGAGAAACCACTGAAGAAAACCACATTGAAGAAAATGTGATTAGGCAAGTTAAACAACAAATGCCAGAAATGTAATGTTCGGTTTCAGATAGAAATCAAACAGGGCAAGTTGTGTGGCAACTTTACAGCACAAAGGCTTTGCAACGATATAGGGCACGAAATAAACAATTTTTGTGAGTATTGTTTTTTAGCAAATGCATCAGCGAAATAAACGTCAATTTTGTCAATTTTACGATCTTAGTTTCAGACTAAAAAAGGTTTAAGGACAAAATGTCTAAATATAGTAGTGCGAAATGAAGGAGCAAGAAGTGAGTAATTAAACTACAAAGACATGCTACGACTGTTGCCATTTCAACAAGGAACGTGTGGAAGCTCAACCTTCAAACGGGGTTCATAGTTGAAAAGCGCGGAAGTCACATTGGCGGGCGCGAAGTGCACTTCAAGCAACATTGGAGTACGCAAAGCGTACTTTGGCAGCCCCAGCTTCATCGCGCCTGGAACAGGTCTGTTGTTTTGTGATAGTCTTTCTTGTTTGACAAGCATATTCAGCAAGTCATCTACTTGGGGGAAAGGGACCCAGCCCAATTCGCAACTGACATCCAACTAAAATATGCAACTGCTTCATGCCCTTGCGCGGTTGCATTTGCATGTTAGTTCACGTTTATACATAACTCCATACACATTCTAACTACGTGTAGTTAAACCAAATCATTGTTTCTTGAACAACAACTTGAGTATTCCAGGGGCGAGGGCGCCATGTGTATTAGTGACGACAATGTTCTTCAAGTATGACAACTGCGAATGCGGTAAAAGCAAAATGAATGATGTTAGCATTCACTTACACATTATTCCCGGCGAACGTGCGTAACAAGAATAACGAAAATAAGATTTACTGCGAACAATGCACCGAATTCAGAAAGGGGAGCACCACATGCTTACATTTTTTGACATATATGACTAGCCCGAGCTTTATCTATAAATGAAACACTGTTAAACACCTAACAGACAACCGTCATTGTTTTGTGGTAGTTCGAAAAGGTGCCACAGAGAAAATAGAAGATATGCAGAATTTGTTATGATGAAACACTCATTAAACAGTTTGGCAGTGGTTTCAAAGGGGTTAAGCCGTGTAGAGCGTTTGCTATGAAGCATGGATACTTTTTACGTGGATGGACCATCATATTTCTTATGAATACACAACACGTGATGGCCTCTAATCTAGATAGAAGAACAAATTTCAAATATTCTGGTAAAAAGTGTTTGGTGGTTGTGTTGTACGCTTGGTCTTGTGGAAAATGGTTTATTCAAGAGTTGGAAAGGGAAACATACATTGCAAAGACGGGGATGATATTGGGAACTATGACTATCGTGGAAGATTTGCCATAAAAACTTCGCATTTGTTGGTAGGTTGCTTTGTTGTGTTCTTTGTTAGTTCCCGGTTAGGGTTTGGTGGCTACGTTCTTTGTTAGGGGGTTGTTGTTTTGGATAAGGAACCTTCAACCTACCTTAGTAAGTATTTTCCCAACACAATTTAAAGGGAATTTGCGTCTTACTGAAAGGCATGATGGAAAAGACGGGTTGTGGATGCTTGTAGAATTCTAATCTGTTTACAAATAACTGTAAACTTGTGATAGATGCCGTGGATGAAGAGAAAAGAAGTCAGAAATACAAAAAGAAAATATTAGTGCGCTTAGGCAAAAAATAAATAGATGAAGAAAAAAACAATACTGCTCACGTTATCAAGTCCGTACACACTTATAATAATTATTATGTCCAGAAAATCATTAAGCTTGCCAGACGCCGAGACAAGCAGGAAATGTGTTCAAAAACGCAAAGCAACCACAAGAAAGAAACAAACAAAATAAACAACCACTCTGGACAAACCTAACTTCAGTGTTCCAATTGTGATTGTGAGGCTAAGTTAATTCATAATCGCGGCATAAAAGAGCAAAGAAGCACCTAGAGAACTTAGCAAAATAATGAGGTCAAGGATGTGTGAAATTGTTTCGGTTAAGTCCATTTTATATAACTTTCAGCCTGTTCGTTAACAGTTAAGTTGGGCGGTTGCTGTTAAACGTGTGGCAGGAATTGGTCTGGGCTTTATGAAATCTTGGGGGCGGGCTGGGCTATGATGGGTAGAAAGCTAGTTTGTTTGCCACGCTTTGACATTTGCATCCGCGTTTTGGACATCGGGGCCTTCAAGCCCTGACTTCAGCTCCACCAGGCGCCCGCTGGTGGTCTCTGCGTAGGCGCAACGCTGCGAGCCTCACAGCTTGGCGACAAGTCAAGCCTCACGCACAAGCTTCGCAATGTCCAGGTGAACCAGAATCAACCTGGCTGGCTGGAGCGCTTTTCGTACGTATCGAAAAAACGCGCCTGAGGCCTTTCCACAGCTGTCAAGAAGCGCCAAAGAAGAGACCTGCGAAGCTTGCTCACTCAAACACTCGGCTGTCACCCTACCTAGGACGCCGTCATCTCCGAAGACATGGCAGGCCGGTGTGATCTCCAGTTTTGGGCCCCCGAGATCTCCCCTGTTTCGTTGCGCCGCGTCGGCCGGACGGGTTGTTATGTATGTTGGGAATGTTTTCTGTGTGCTGTTCCTTCAAAACAGACATCTTGGGTTTTCGAAAGTCGGCGGCAAACTCCGAAGATGGGTGTTTTTTCAGCGCGCAGCCTCCTCCTGGGCCTCCCCGGCGGCCGCATCGCCCTCGCCCAGCCAGCCGTCGCTGAGCGACATGGCGACCTCGCGCTGAGCTTGCCAACGGCATTCCCTTACCTTGGACACTCGTAATTACTTGTGTACTTGTGAAAGTTCATTGGGGTCTACCAGGAAGGAACACGTTTAAAAACACAAAAAAGCAGTAGAGCCGGCGAAGCTGGCGAGGGGCGGCGCCGGCTGAAGCTTCAAAAATATAAAATATTGTTGTCTTTATCTTCTTTCTTGCTTCTTGTTCTTGTCCTTCCTCTTTCCTGCTGTCTCTTCGTTGTCTCTTTAATTCTCATTTGTTTCTTCTTTCTTTCCTCGTTTTTTCTTCCGTTTTTCGATATTTTACATTTTGTCCTTCTTCCTTGCTTGTTGTCCGTCTGTCTCATTTCAGTCTTCCTGTCCTTCGTTCCCCCTCTCACTAAGCAAGACGACCCGCTCTCTTCAGTTGACGGTTCTTCCCAAGTGCGCAGCAGAAAGATTCCCTTTTAGAGGTTGGGGCCTGGGGTTTGCTTTCACGGACGCAAGCGTCCGCGATGCGTTCGCAAGCGACTCCTGCAACACGTGACTTTTCAATGAGCCTTGCAGCACTGAATTCGCTGCGCCTGTGCGGGAACTGTAGCTCTTCGCGCGTTAGAAGTTGTTCGCTGCGCAGGCGCAATGTTTTGGAAGGTTGCCCGTTCGCGTTGCCGCGCCACTGTGATTTGCGCTTCAGGGGCTATCGCTTTGAGGAGCCTTGCTTGGCATTTCCACTTCCGGAGCTTCCTCCTCCCTTCCAGCCCAACACCTTTTTCCGCAGAGTAAAAGGCGGCCCTTGCTGAAGCAATTCTGTAGCTCTTCGGGATGACATCAGTTTTTATTGAAAATCAAACCTGAACCCTCTGCCGCGGGCACCAATACCAGTGGCGCTATAACATTCAAAGCCTCTGTTGCAGCATCCACTATCTGCATATCCAAATCTCGCCTAGCTGATCCACACCGGTGTTGAACATGCGAACCTCAAAAACTTCGAGTTGAAAGTGAGAGCCAATCATAGCATCTTCGTCTATGATTGCAGGAAAGCTTCCAGCAGGCACCAAGGCGGCTGGTAGAGCCAGCAAAACTCCTCCTCCCACGCCAGTTCTGATCACAACAATCAGACCCATCCAGTTGCGCTGTATTTGGAGCTCCGCGCTACGCCGTCCAGATCCATCGGTGTACTGAACGCCTGCTGCCAAGCAATAGGTCTTCGCCTCTGCTTGAGACGGCCACCCATGGGAGACGCTGTCACCCACGAAGTCGCTAAGCAACGTTCTATGATCCTTCTGGCCGGGCTGGAAACGCCTTCAGCTCGAAGGATGATACAGCAGGTGTGAGAGATCAACAAGAGTGGCTGGTTGAGGCCTTGAAACCCTGCCGTCCAAGCTCGAACCGCTCTTTCCCTAGCTGACGACTGCTTCTCGAAGGTTTGAGCAGCAGGAGAAATTTGAGGAATCTCCCGAGCCAGCGAGTTGCATCGGGAAGAGCAGGAACACGCCCTCGCCCTCGAAGCCCCTGAAACCAGTTCAAACCCAGCAGTTGGGCCGCGATTACCACCTTGCAAGTCAGAGAGCCTGCGCTCAAGGATATCCAGCCGCATTGAAAGCCGCTGAACCTGCAATTGTCAAAAGCTTAAGTACGATTACCCGTGTAAATATGCAAGGAACCTTCATGACCCCTGTCAGGTTCCGGATGGCGATATCCAGCAGGACGGTTCAAAGAAAGATGGCCAAGACACAGAGAGAAAAGGAGGACGCACGCCAAGAAAAAACCAAGTCCAGAAAGCAAAGATGAGAGAAGTAGCTGAGGGAGCACCGCAATGGCTAGGACCACCACAAGAGGAAGAGCTAAAGTCAGCAAGCGCGCCGTCTGCCGAGCAAACACAGCCCGCAAAGCCTGCGCAAGCTGCGCCGCCGGGCAAGCAAGAGGTGGGAGCTTCTGACACAAGCATGAAGCACCCGGCGGCCGCAAACAAAGGGCCCTCGCCCGCGAAACGGCCCGCGTCTATGCGCAGGTCAGCCGCTAACGCAGGGGCGACGCGCTACGCCGGAGAAGATGGCTGGACCTGTGGGTGGCCGAAGCAGCGTGAGGTGGTTCAAGGCATGGTCAAGCTTGTCGCAGAGCCGCGGGACCCTTTGGGATCAAGCGCCCTGACACGTGCTGCGTATAAAAATGTGTATATATATATATATATATATACACACACAGATGCCTGTCACTGCCTTGCCAGTGATCATCCCCGGTTTTTTGCTTGCATGTGAGGCGCGAAGCGACAAACATGTGCCCAGCACAGTCGCTGTAAACTTGGAGAGCCGGTGTCCGTCTGTTGCTTTTTGGACCACGTTGGTGCGTATGTCCGCGTCTCGGTTGCTTGTCAAGGCGCCCGCGCTTTTCGCCTATGTAGCGGTAGCCGTCACCTGCGCGGCGGCGGCGCGGCGCTCCTTGACTTAGTGTCAAGATGCCCGCGCTTTTCGCCCACCTATGCCTGCGTGGCGGCGGCGCACGTCCCTTGGCTGCGCGTCAAGGCGCCTGCGCTTTTCTGGTCGCCGTCACGCGCGTGGCGGCGGCGTAGCGCGCCTTGACTGCGCGGTCGCCGTCACTTGCGTGGCGGCGGGTCCCTTGACTGCGTGAGAAAGGCAAGACCTGCTGCCTGCGCGGCAGGAAGTCCGTTCCAGCACCTGCGTGGCGTTGGAAGATGTGCGGGGTGGGCAGCGCGGGCCCTCGTTTGCGACGTCAAAACATATAATACACAAGTGTATATTTACAGTGTGTGTGCGCGCATGCACATGCACGCAGCAAAGCGCAAGTGCACACACACACATCTCGTCTCCGGCAAGGTGCGGCAGCTGCGATGGTTTTTTTTTGCGAAGGGGACCATCCGGGAAGGTTCGCTGCAAGCCTGCGGGGCGAAGGTGGGCAAGAGGGGTAAACTGAAATGGAAAAGGGCGCGGTCAGGAGTAAAATCTGAGCTTTTGGCTCTCGGACAAATGTCGGCCTTTGTCGGCCCGCACGAAGAAGACACATTTTCACGTACGGTCGATGTCGGCCCGTTGTCAGCCAGTGTAGAAAACGTAGGAGGAACCCGTGTATTTTGATGTCGGACGTGCTTGAGGGGGAAAACGGTCCGCGGGATTGCGCTGCTCTTTACAAACTGTTTTGTTAACAATCTTATTCGTCAAACCTGCCAAGAACCTTTGGCTTTTCTCACAACAAACGAAGCCTTGCTAAATTTTAGAAACCAACAAAAACGAACAACCAGCAGACAGCGCGGGTGGCTGCGGTCGCAACGGCGAGGCGAGTCGCAATTTCTGGAGAGATTATAGGAGTGTCGCGCTGGGCCAGCCGGTGGAGGCTTCTTAGTTCTACTTACAAGCCAAGTTTATACTTAGTACGAAGCACTAACTACACTTATTGTGGCTTACGCTAAGTAACTTATATGTTGACTTGTAACTCATATAGCTCGCGCAGCTCAGCAAGCACTTTGCGGGACAGGCCCAATACCTGAGAGCCTTTGGATTGAATTCCACGGCGGGCGCAGCACTTTTGAGCTTGGGTGTAGATTCCGCGGCAGGCGCAAAAACTTGTGTAGGTCGAATCGCGCTCGCCCTGGCGCGGGATACATATTGAAACTGCTCCAAACCGAGCTTGTCAGTGAAAATGGCGCCGTGAGCATTTTGAGAGCGCAGAACGAACCCTCCGCGCACTCTGGGCGGCTCTCGCTGCGGCACAGCGCGCGCTTAGAGAGTACAAGGCGGTTTGAGCCGCTCTCGCTGTGCCGCGGCGCGTGTTTTGAGAACGCGCAGTGCGCATATTCTCGTTTTCGAACTTGAAGCGCAGATGTCGCTGCAGGCGCAGCGTGCTCGCAACCTGAGGTACGGTCTTCCTGACAGGCACAGCCCGTTCGCAACTTGATGCACAGGTGTTGTGGCAGGCGCAACTCGTCGGCGTGCGCGTTTTCGTGACAGGCCAGCGCTTTCGCAACCCGCAGGCCTCGTGACATAGCACTTTCGCAATCTGAGGTTTCCTGTGCAGGGGCAGGTACTTTCGTGGCTTGAGGTACAGATTTCGTGACAGGCGCAGGCAGGCGCAGCTTCATCCTACCCTCCAAAAGCACTGCGCCTGCCACAAAACCTCACTAACCTTCCGAAATTACTGCGCCTGCCAGGAAAGCTGCGCTTCACTATGCGAAAGCCCTGCGCCCGTCACGAAATCTGCACGTTAAGTTGCGCTGACGCGAAATCTGCGCTTCAGGCTGCGAAAGCGCCGCGCCTAACCTGCGCACGACCTTCCGAAAGCACTGCGCCTGCCACGAAATCTGCACTTCAAGTTGCGAGGAGCTGTGCCTGCCAAGAAATATGCACCTCCAGCCGCGAGAGTGCTGCGCCTGCCACGGAATCTGCGTTACAAGTTGCAAAAGCGCTGCGCCATCGCGAAATCAAACCACTTACCGGCGGAAAGCGCAGAATTCTCAAGTTGCGAAACCTAGCCACCAGATGATTCCCAGGCAGTAGCCCAAATAATCCCCGGATGAAGCCCGGATAGATTGAGCAAACAGATTGCGAAATCAACGTCCTTGGAGTGTCAGCCTTCCTAGTTGAATGGTGGACAAGGAGCCCTGGGAACCAGGTTCTTCAATGTCACAGACAGCCAGGTAATGTTTCACTGCCTGACCAAAGGCCAAAGAATCAGCCCGCAATTCAACCGACTCCTGGGTAGAGTCAATGCCCTGGTCCTCCTGATGTCCGAGAGCCAGCCCCTGCATTTGTGGACCAGTTCAAAATGGAATTGGCCGACAAGCCAAGTTGCGAGCAATGTCACGTTGCGAGAAACATTTGCGGTACGCAGGGGTCTCGGGTCGAGCGGGAAGTTTCACTTTTTCTAAGGGTTTCGCTAAGCTTGTGGCCCATTACATCAACCATCTTTGTCAGGAGGGCGAGCCCCTTACTAAGGCAGGTTGGCTTTTGAGTGGCCTCAAGCGCCTCTACCCGGGTGCGAAAGAATAATGGTGCAATAATAATTGG